GATAAACGTAGAAACAGCGAGTGCGAGTAAGAGAGAGAGAGAGAGAGAGAGAGAGAGAGAGAACGAGATGAAGAGAATGAAGTTCGTCGCGAGAGGCGGCGGATGATTGGCACTGTATTGCCCAGCCGAAGTCGAAAGAAACGGTCACTCACCTTCGGACAGCTCGAGGTCTAACTCAGCGAGCTTCTCCCGTACGTCCTCCGGCAGCTTGCCGATATCGATGTTATACTCGGCCATTGCTAGGCCATCCGTGCTGCACCGTGATTGCAAATCCACCAGCGATGCATACCACAACCCATTACCACCGCTCGGCCATCTTGCCTGTCACTAAAGTACAAGTACGTCGTTGCACCGTCGACGGCGCCACCAAACGCGCATGCCCGCGCCCCAAGCCCCAACCATCGACATATAGGGTGCATTCGTTTACCCCGGAGATTTATAATAGATTTTTAAGTCTTAAGCCGTAAGGAATGGACGAATCACAATCGCTTATTCTCCTCGCATTCGACTGTAGTTGGTCAATTTCTTACAGCTTAAAACTTAAAACATCTATTGTAGATCCGGACGCAAAGGTTATAGCGCAGAGAGTATCATTTAATCCTCATTTAACACTCGGTGAACAACAAGGATAAAATAATACTTCTGCGCTAACCTACGTAAACGACAGGGATAGTACTGGCCGGAGCATTAACATACTCCAATATGCTCCTATCATAATTCCTACTCACTCCAATGCACTCATTACAGTGAGTAGAAACTACATAGCAGAAGCATGTTGAAGCATATTGGAGTATGCGACGCGAACAAATCTGATTAATGACTCCGGTACACCAGCGTGATGTTCGTTGTGCGCGACACGCGATATCCAATGAGAATATAATTTGGAATAAAAACATCGGTAAAGCTGTACACTCATTGGATATCACGTATCACGCTGGCGTGCCAGAGGCATATCGCGCTCGTTAAAGTGAGTGAAAACTATAACAGGAGCACATTGGAGCATGCTAGAGCATGCGACGCGACAAACATAAGATATAGACGGAAGCGTTTAAGTCTGTTACACAATAGGCCATAAGCGGTAAGCCGTAAGAAATTGACTAATCACAGTCGAATATGAGAAAAATAATCGACTTTAATTAATTAATTTCTTACGGCCCTATTGTGTAAAGCCTTTTACAATAGAGTCGTAAACGGTAAGCCGTAAAAAATTAACCAATCATAATCGATTATTCTTCTTACATTTAACTGTGATTGGCCAACTTTTTACGGCTTATGACTTGCGACCCTATTGTAGAACAAGCATAACAGGCTTTCCCGGATAATTCTGATCTACAACGGGTGTTTTAAGCCATAAAAGATTGACCAACTACAATCGAATGCGAGGAAAAAATAGGTTAGAAGTTATTTAAAATAATA